ATTCGAACTTACGCGACTCACAACATACCAGGTAAACAAGATGTCTTCTCTTGTGACGTGGACCTGACGGCCAAGACTGCGGAGGTTTCTGGTGTTCGCTGCACTTCATCTTATGCTTGCTCGTTTTTGGAGTCGCCCTCTCTTAAACCACTCTTTCTCTGGTGCTCGTCTGGTTTCACTCTTTGGATCTCTGTCTGCTTGTGACTGCGACTCCAACTCGTTCTGCACTTACGGTTATCCGACGGTTATACGAATACTTTTCGGTTATCCGACTTTTCAATTATCCGACCAACCCCAGTCCCCAATTGAGTCGGATAATCGATGCTCTACTGTATATATCTTTTATAATCTTTGATTATTTAATTGTTCCTTCCTCTTTTCTTTGGCATGTTGTGAGATTTCTGATAGTTGGATAATAAATTAATTAGAATAAAACGGTTTAAGTTGATATTAAAATTTGGAAAGGGGGAGTCCCTAGATTGGTAAAATAGGTGAATTTCCTCCTACAACTTCGGTTGCTATTCACGATACAATTAAGGTTCATGCAAATACATAATTTAAAAAGATATAAAGTAAATAAACAAAAATTATTACAAATAAGTTTACAAATATATATATATAGATATTTTTGGAGGTGGGAAGTGGTGGTTTTCACAATTGTAAAGGATCCTGTTTATCCTGTATTATCTTAAAAGTAAAAGTTTTATTAGTCGTCCTTTATTCCTCAAGAAATGCCAAAGAATATATTGTATAACATCCCCTACACCACTTTATTTTTTGAATTTTGAGTACTGAATCACATACAAAATATGTTCTAGTGATAAGATACAAGTAAACAGACATAAATTTAATTTACATCATTATTTACTCATAAATAAATCATAATTTTCCAAATGTTTCCCATGTAAATTACTAATTTTAATTCAATTAATCATCTTAACTTTTGTATAAATAAATAAACCAAACTGGATCAAATTCATGATTATTTTTCAGTTTAGAATTAATTAAATTTTCAAATTTCATTCAATTTGGTAATTTAGTTTATCAGTAAACTAAATTATCATTTAGATGATTGATAAATGAATCAAAAATTATTGTAAAAAATATTTTTATTTGATTGACTCTTACAAAAATCTATTTTTTTTTCCTACAAGACAAAAGATTTGGAAAGAAACATTTTTACAATGTTTTCGTCTGGATAAGATAAAATTTATTATAACATTTCCATTATTTTTTAAACAGCTATTTTATTATAATTATCAATGAAAATCATAATTACAAACAATCAAAAGGTTAATTAAAGTGCCATTTGGATATAAAATATAACAAATTTACGATTTTTTTCGATGCAAAGCCTTGATGTAGGTCGTATCTAAAAGTTGAGTGAAAAAATTTTATTTATTTTCTTTTTTTTTTTACAAAATTCTGAAAAATTTTTAAATGTAATTGCAAATGTTGAAATATATACATCTTAGGAATGTTAACTGATGTTTTTCATTATTATTTTATGCTTAATTAAATGGTTGTTAAATTTTTTAGATTAATATTATCATCATAAAAATCTACAAATTAATTAACCCTTAATGTGTATACAGTATATATATAGAATTCAAGGCTGTCAAGAATTTGTATGGGGCCTAGAGGCCCTTCTCCCCTTTCTTGGAACAATGAAATATATAGAATGTTTCTTCATTATTGATTAATAAAAAGTGGTCTTGAAGTTTGTATTTTTTTGTTAGTAAAAATAACAAATTTTTAGAGATAGGAACCACTATGGGCCCCTAAGTTTTCTCCAAGTTTTGGGAGAAATCTCCAGCTACGCCCCTCTCTCGACAGCCTTGAAAGCTTCATAAAACTAAGTTTTTCAACTAATTTGATGGAAGAACAATATTTAAATTTTATATATCACATAAGTCTCAAAATTTATCAATCATTGTTTAACAAATCATACTTTATCATTAAAGTAAGTAAATTCTTAATTATCATTTATTTTATTATTGCATGCAATGATGCAATCGTTAAGTATATAAGAAATTTTATAATTGTTAATGATTTATTATGGAAAATAATTACTAAATAGGAATGAATAATTTTCATGCAAATACCAAGAAATAATTCCCAGTGTGTATAAATTACATTTTTCAGATAGGAGAATGTTTGGAGTGGGAACAGCATCCTTTAATAATATGACAAATTTTCCAATTATTAAAACTTCTGCAATATTGTAGAGTTGAATGCGATAAATGTATGTATAACTGGTCAACTGGTACTGAACGGACAACTTACAGGTCACATATGCAATACCACATGTATAACTTTAATGTTGTTACAAATTCCTCACTGTATAAAGCAATTGTATTAAACATTTTGCATCTTAATATGCCAGTTGTTACTATTAATAGTTTACATTTTATGAGATTAATTTAAGATTTTGAATTGATGTTGTAATGCATTATAATTTTTTTCCATTTAAAATAATGAAAAATTAGCCTCCCAGTTATTGTTTTCATACAGAACATTCGATTTTTTGGAAAAATTACCAATATTAAGCAAAGGATGCCTGTATTTTTAAATCTATTGAATATGTAACTTAAAAACATTGTTGATCCTCAAATTTTATGGATCGCAATATGGAAGATTTTGCAAACAATGAAGCACATATGCATGTTCTAAGTCAGAGTGAAAATACATTATTTGAGAATATCAGAATGCAACTATTAATGTACAGATTATCTGCTAGGTACAGGGTCTTCCAAAAAAACACTACATTTTAAATTACTGTAATTATGTTAAGTATTACCTAAGAAGTATGTGATGTACACCAATTGATGCAGTAATTATCTAACTTTCATCTCCCATCTACATTCAAATGTGTTGTTGTCTACTGCCTCTAGGAAGTACCATAAATAAAAATGGCAGCTCTAAATAAAAAGATGTTTTGTATTCTGCAGTTTGAAAAGATGGAATTGCTCATCATTGTGCAACATCAGTAATCTACAGGAACTTCAGAATACAGTTGTGGAGCTGCAGATGCAAGAGTTAGGCTGCTGTGGGAGGAGTGACTATGCTGTAGTGAGCATAGGAATAATCTGAATATTGGTTGAATGTCTATTGTGTGACACAAGATGTATATATCAAGAAACTACAATATGCAAATGTGAAACTTGGACAGTTTTCCAATGTTTTAATGTGCATTACAATATTCTTGGATAATAATTAATATAATTACAACAGTTTAAATTGATAGCATTCTTTTTGGAAGACCGTGTATATTTTGCCGACAGCTTTTGTTTACATTCCTGCTTGAAAGTGTGACATTTCTCTCTACTTATTACAATGTAAATGGTAAATGTACTTTTTAGCTTATCTCATATAAAGTTCATTTTGTAGCTAACTGATTTCTTAAGATACAACAGGCAACATGCAGAGAGACCACTGCTCTTTCTCTCTCTATTAATCAATTATATTGACAGTGAACAGAATTTATATATACCATTCAATTACTAAAAATATTTCGAAAATTATTTTATACAATCATAAAATCAATGAAATTTAGGTGCAGCTTTTAAAATCAATTTACTTAAACCAGTCATTCCATACAACAGTAGAAAATAAATGGTTTACTTAAACTGATTTTACACTTGAACTTAAACAGATTTAAATATGTAATTAATTAATATATCAAATGCCCACAATTCATGTACAAAATTGATAATATCATATCTAAAAGAAGGAAAACTAATTTTTACAAGCATGTACTGTACATTATTCAGTAACTTTTTTAATAACTGTATCATCAGTGCTGTAACAATTAAAAATGATACAGGAATTGTAAAATTTTGCACTAATATTATAGGAATATTTAATTATTAATACATATATGTATATACATATATTATACAAGAATTTATTTATAACAATAGTATTTATTCTTAGTTATGAAAATAACATTATGCTCAATAGATTAGTAAATTATAATTTATTAACTAACTAAATTAAAATTTGATGCCCTTTATTTTGAGATCTAGAATAATTGCTTTCATTTCCATGCTGTTATACTGGGAATGTTTATTTTGTACATTTTATGCACTTGCAAATACCATCAGAAAAAGCTTGTTATTAGTTGCAAGTTATTTAAAGTGAATACTTTTTTAATATATTTTTTCCTAATCATTGAATCTAGAGGAATGTTTTTGTGTGTCAACCAGTTTTTGTTGAAACACTTTCACATTTTCCCCCATCTTCCAATTTGTCATCATTAACAAATACAGCTCATCGAATGGTAATAATGCTGTTTGCTAATAGATAAACAAGGATTATTTGAGAAACTATTATCAATATGAAGTGAAATGCAAAATACAGCCAATTAACCAGTATTTGGTTACCTACACAAAAACACACCTTATATGATTCACCTTTCTTTACACAAAATTGATGTTTCTTCAGTACCCTTTTACTATATAAATATATCTCGGAATTTTCTAAAATTTCCTTACATTACTTTAACATATTTATATTTCATTATCCAAATGATATATTTAGCATTTGTTTCAGCACAAGACTTCTAATTCATAACACACAATTTATAATTTCAAGGAAGTAAAAATATTAGAATTTCTCATTTAGATCATCTTTTTTCTTTACTTGCATTAATTTAATTTTATATTTAAATATGAAGTAGTTCTGCTCAACATTTTATTATTGTTGTAAATTTTCTAATCAGAAAATTTCATTACTGGTAATATAAATCAAGATAAATGTCTGATAATTGAAAGATCTCAGACTTTCATCACTTTTAAAATAAAATCAATGAAATTTTTATCAGTGCTTAAAATAATATTGAATTGTGTTAACAATATAATATTGTGATCATTTTATTTCAGGAATGATTTAATTTTAATTAAAGTATAAAATTAAATTATATTCTTATAAACATTGTGATTTTTCCATATCACAATTTTTTAGAAACTCTTTATAAAAAGTGCAAAACAAAATGTACTTCAGTTTTTTTCTGATTCTTCTACCTTCCTTCTTCTGACACTTCCAGATTCGGATAAACTGGATTCATCATCTAAAACATCTTCTTCCTTCTCAATAATTAAAATAATAATAATTTTAAGTTTTAATATCATATTTTCACTAAAATAATAATATAATTATAAATATTCTATATTAACAATTCAAAGATAATGTTTTAAAAATTATATTTATTTTATTGTTAGATTTTGAATGATACAGAAAGATTCAGATCAATTTTGCCAATTAAAAAAAATTGAAAATAACACTAGAATGGATTAAAAATGATAATTTGTAAGATTAAATTAATAAGACTATTACATAAATGATGAAAATAAGTTAAATAAAATTATCTGTATACATTGTATTTTAAGCATTAAACTGAAAACAAATTAACATTGGAATAAACTAACAGAATAACATAATTTAAATGAGATTCAATAATTTTTGCCAAAATTTACAAATAATAATTCAGTAAATTTTAATAAAATAAGAATAAATGACTTATACAATCTATAATTTTGAAATCTACAGCCGCTGACTTATTTTTTTGTCAATAATATAATAGATTGATGTTATCTTTAAGCTCTTGCTTTTTTGCTTTTGAGGATAACAATGCAATTACATAAAGAGCAAATTTTGTTAAAAATGATTTCACATCACTGGTAAAATCAACTAGAATTTTAAAAGTTTAAATGAATGATGATATTTAAAAACAAAAGTGTAAAACTTCAACCCTTTCACTGTCTATGCATTAAATATGATGCATTGGTATGTTTGCGTGAAATGTTTATAACAGGTCAAGTGTATCATATAATACACTCAACCTGTTACAAAAATAAGATAGAAATGCTATAAAGATATTTGAATAAGACAGAAAATAATTTTCAAAAACTCATATATGATATTTAATCTATATGACAAACTAATGTAAATTTCTTATTTAAAAACTGAGTTATTACTATAAATCAGGGATGGCCAACATGTAGACCACGGTCAGTCGCAAAAGTTTTGAAAGTAGCCTGCGAAGCTACAGTTGAACAATTTGCTTTCACTTAAATTAATTAAATTAATGTTTAAAAATCTTAATTCGATAATTTATTCTTACAATAATAGACTGTCTGTGCAACGTACCCATAGTGTTTGCATTTATCCCGATGAACAATGCAAATGAATGTTAACTCATGCACATATAAATGGCAATTTGCATAAAATGGCACAAAATCATGTGTCAGTGCCTGGCTTCAATCCACTTGTTACTTCTTGTTTGTGCACTTGTATTTACTTTCAATTTTAGTTTTTTTTTATTTATTCATACAGCAAACAGAAGCAGGTGTGTTAGTTTATTAATTAATTATTGTTTTAAATGTTATTAATATTTAACCCTATTATTTTAGAATGAATAAACCAATTACAGGAGAGTCCCGAAAACTCGGCACTCAATAACCCGGCAGTCTGGATAACTCGGCCACACCCTGGCAGGGCAAAAAAATCCTTAGTTAATTAATTTTCATNATGAATAAACCAAGTACAGGCCGGGGAAAAAAAAACTTATCATTATCACAGTGAATGGGAAGGAGATTATTTCTTTACTATGATGAAAGATAAATGTGTGTGTTTTATTTGCAATGCAACAGTAGCTTTGCCTAAGAAAGCAAACGTTGAAAGACATTTCCTATTATTTTAGAATGAATAAACCAATTACAGGCCGGAAAAAAATAAAAACTTATCATTATCACAGTGAATGGGAAGTAGATTATTTCTTTATTATGATGAAAGATAAATGTGTGTATTTTATTTGCAATGCAACAGTAGCTTTGCATAAGAAAGCAAACATTGAAAGACATTTTCTAACAGTTCATAAAAACTTTGAAGATTATCCACGTGGTACTGCGTTAAAAAAAGGCCAAAATGCAACAACTGAAAGCACAATTAACTGCGCAACAAAATAGCTTTTTTAAATACAACACGAACTCAGACTGATACAATTGCCTCATTCAAAGTTGCTGATACTTTAATTAAATTTATTTTCTTTATTTGCCATATTTTTTAGTTGAAATTCTTGTTAATTATTTATTAAAATATCTATGAAAAATTTGAAAAATCCTAAAATTGTTTGCCCATATTCATAGTCGCCCACAGACTATATTTTTCCGAAAAAGTAGCCCCTAAGGAATAGAAGTTTGGCCACACCTGCTATAAATTTTAATTAAAAAATAATAAAAATATCACAAAATGAAAGCTAGAATAACGCTCCTAAATATAAAATATAAATCTATGTAGCTAAGAAATCAGCATTAACGCTACAACCTAGGCAATATTGAAGCAAACTGGTTGAAGCAAATTCATTCGATCTTTGCCCACTTGATGGCCATCAATAGCCCATCTTCAACTCAATGTCTTATACTTCAATGGGAAGTAGGCAGTCCATTCCATGCCTATCAGATCCAAAAAGTTTGATTTGTTGGGCAGCGATTAACAATGCTCATGTGCATTTGAAAGTTTGCAAGAAAGGAACATGTGCCGTAGGCCATAAAGAGGGTGCACATTTATGCTTCATGTTTTGTCCATGTCTTCATTATGCTGGGATTACAAAGCAGAACTGCTTGATAAATTTTTCATATAAATAATAATATAAATTATTTCATTAATTGTCAGAAATTTAATAAATAAACAAAAACAAAATTGGAAACCTGATAGATTTATAAACTATTTATTGTAATTTATAAATCTATCAGGTTTCCAATTTTGTTTTTGTTTATTTATTAAATTTCTGACAAATATATGGAAGTATCCATAGCTAACTGATGTTAGCTTCGGCTGCTTCCATTTGCTGATGAAAGTTGTTGTAAGTCATCATTTTAGAAAACAAACTACTGAGCAATAGTTTGTAGAGGAGTAGATGCAATGTTCATTGGTTCTGTAGAACTACATCACAAGTGATATCATAAGTGGAGAATTTTCCTGAATGTTGAAGCAAAACAGTCATGTGACCATCTGACATCACGTCAAAAGCAATGATATTACCTACTTTGTGGCTGCCTTTAGAGAAATAATATATTCATCTCAATTCATTCATGAAAACTCAATTGATATATAATAAATATACTCAATAGCATTACAGAGCAAATTATTTCTGTAGCTATGTATGTAAATTAGATAACTTAAAAATAATTGAAAATTACAAAAGAAATATTTAAAAAGCACTTTAAAAGCTACAGTTATTAATACAACAGATAAAAGTGCATTAGTGAAATTTATATATCACATTATTTAATTTAAATCATTTATATAAAATAAGAAAAAAAATGAATTAAATATCCTCAATACCTTTGATTCTTTAATTTCATTTGTATCCTCTTTTTTATTATTTGTCTCATCTGGAAGAATGTATTCAGGTAATGGACTTTTAGGACGGAATACAAAATCTAATACGCAGACACAAATCTATAAAATTTAAGAGGTTTATGTAAGCATTTTAAAATTAATAAAATAGTTATGTATTAAATGTTATTATTTACTATTCCAATAATTGTTCCAATAATAATGATTCCCAGAGCAAATATGACATAAGATGCCCATTGTGGTATGCCATGCTCTTCAGTTAAGTGATCTTGATATTCCTTTATAAATAAAAAAACTGTTCTTAAATATAAATTTTAATAAATGATAAAATTATTTTTAATTTTAAAAATACTTTCTTAATGAAAATATTCCTATAAACTTACTCGAATTGATAGTGCCAATTTGAAAAACGAAGATACTGCTGACATGCTGTAAAAATATAATACATTTATATTTATTAATACTATTTAAAAAATAAAAATTAATACCACATCTATTAAGTCAAATTACTTATGAAACTAATTATTAAAATATAAAATTCTGACAAAAAATAGTGTAGTATAAAATTCTGCCATGAAATGGTATTTAGGATAGGGTAAATTGCAAAGATTATATAAAAATGTATGACATTAAATGACAGGTCTCTGCTAGACTGTAAACAAACATACAAAGCTAATATAATCCTATCATTTAAAATTATAACTTGCATATAAGCTGGTTGATGTATGAGATTGATAATATTTAGGGTGTAATCTTTTGAATTATATGTTTGTTGTTATTCATCAAGTTAATGTAATTTATTTATTTTATACATAAATAAGTAAGGCCTACAAAGCAAGAGAGTTCCCACATAACCCCAGAATGTCTCAATAAAAGCATTAAAAAAATAATAATAAAAAAAACTAGAAATATGCTTTAAAAAAGCACAAAAAGAATAAAATAATACTAAATGTAAATATATCACAGCCCAAGTATTACCAGTAAACATAACAATTTTTTACATAACCTTTACATTAAGTGAAATTTAAGTTTTGAGAAACCTCTACTGTTGACATGGCATTAATTGTGCAGAAGAAAAATAAACACCTAGAAAAGTTAAGAAAAAAGTTAGGTATGCCAATGCATGATATATTTCTAGTATTTCTTATGGACACACCTAGAGGAAAAACAAATAAAAAGGAAAAAATCAATTAAAATACTTATAAAATAAAATACAATCAAAACATTAAATATGATGAAATAAATTAAATAAGTGATTGAACCTCCAAAAAACCTGTAAGCATGACCTTGCTGCTACTCTGCATCAAAGTACATTAACTTAAAGAACCACTAAAAGCTGGAAAATAATGTAACAACCCACAGACACCTGCTGGAATAAGTATGGAAGGTGTCTGAGTTAGTATATTAACCTAATTATTCTTACATGCATTTTAGAGTTTTCTGATTTCCTAAAATAATAATTATTTCGATAATTTCCTTTTCTGAACCTTCTTGAAATGAATCAAAACAAAGGTATACTTTTCCAAAAATACTATTAAGCCCACTTATAAAATAAAAATAAAATGATCCTTACAGAATATTGTGCACAGAATTCAATATCTTAACTGATTTTTATCTTATCAGATGATATAAAACAAAATTGACCAGCAAATAAATAAACAATATTTATTCACTGATTTATTTGATTGATTGAGTGGTAGAATGACTAAAATAATATATTGAGTCTTTGAGTTAATTTATAAGCATTGATATCTGCAGAACATTTTGAAAATATGTAGTACATAATATTTCTAAATTTATTAAAGTTTTTGCACCTGGTTCAAAATAGTGATTTAGTTTTCTTTCTTTAACAAGAATGCTTATTATGAAAAAAAAATTTGTCAATTCTTAAAAATTGATTTCAAGAAAAGTGAAATATAGCAAAATGTTACAATTATACAATAACTAAAGTAAAAATAAGTAATATTTTTACTTACTGAATAGATGATGGACTTCTCCACCATGGTATAGGTTCTATATCATTCCATTTTTCTTCTTTTATAAAGCTAATAAAAGCTTCCTTGCTTCTTGACCCAGTATATTTACGAAATACTCCATTTTTTATGCTAATTAAAAATAATTACAAATAACCAAATGGTATTCACACAATAAAAGAAAAATAAAATAAAATATTAAGTTTTAAGGGAAATTTAAACCTTCCCTTGAAACTTTATTTTTTCATCATTACACTATTAAAATTTAAAAAATTGTTTAAAGTTCTTACTGGAATATTGTTGGAAATGCAGTAATTAGAAACCGTCCACTTAAACCTTAAAAAAAAAAATGCTTATATTAATTAATTAAATTAAAGACAACACGAATGCTTATAAACTATTTTTTATGAAATCATTTTTCATTAAAAAAATGTCTACATTTTGCAAATAATTAAACATGCTTTTTAAATAATTATAATATTTTTTTAATGTGAAGATACTTAAGTAGAATAAACATTATATTATTTTAGTTTTAAATACATCTTGACAAGTGAATAAAAATGGTATTACTAAGAACTACTTTGATACTGTTAATGCATTAATTGCACTTTATTTTAATGATTTGACAAAAAAAATTAAAGATTTCAGTTCAGTTACACGGCTACTAGTAATTAAATAAAATTGCTTTTATAAAAGATATAACGTATTTATTCTAATAAACAGTATAATGTTGGAATTTTTTTCATCTTGCAATCCTGCTGCTTATTTGAGAGTGCTTACTATTAGAGGATGCTGCTTATTAGAATAAATATGGTATTTATCTATTTAAATAAAAATTATTCATTTTTCGATAAAAATCTTTAATTATGTTTGGTTTTAATTACATTGTTATAAATTCCCTTGTGCTTATTTTCAATATATTAACTAGTACAACAATTTATGAATGTTGTATGACAATTCAATCAGAAAATTAATTAAACTGTTTTATAGGAACTCACTAACATACATTAAGTATTAATTTATTAGAGAAACTGATATTTAAGTTAGTGATCTCAGTTAAAGAATATTGCTTTAATGTTCAGATTTTTAAAACATTAAAATTAATTCTACATGAGTCGTTCACATCAAAATAGAACTTTTGATTGTGCAGGGTAGACGAATGCAATAAGAAAGAAATTAGTGATGTACATTCAACACATTTGAAACTGCATCACCAGAAACTAATGTGAAGCATTAATCCACAGATTGTGAAAACTGATTATGGCAAAAGGCAATGCCACATAATATTAAGTTTATTTTGTTGTATTTCCTATATTTAACACACATTTAGCTAATATCCTAATTTTTTGTCATTTCATTTCCATTTGTAACAAAAAATCATTTGAGTTAATTTGTCTGATTAATGGGTATAATAAATATATATAGACATTGTTTACGTAGGGTCAAAAAAAAGTTTCGCACTCTGTTTTGTTCATGAGACAATATACACTAAACTTTCAGTTAGGTGAATATTCTAATTTTTTTTCTAGTTGTATAAATATTTTTGTGTTACTTGTGAGCAATATAACAAAGATTATTTTAGTATACATAACATTATGCTATAACCATTGTTGGTTACTATGGTAAAGATTATTTTATATGTAATAATTTAAATGATAATTAATTTTATTGTTTAATAATTTTATTTGTTCATGAATAAACATTTTCTATTTCTTTAACAAATACAAAATATAATGTTAGACCTAGAAATGTGATTGCAGGTTAAACTATTTCAAATATGCTTGTCAAATAAAATTTTTTATATAAAGACTGAAGACAATAATTAACCAAATATATATATCAACTTCTTGAAACCCAATGTATAGATAATAAGCTAAATGATTGCCATGATTAATGGGTTATTAATATTCTATAATTAATAATTAGAAACTAAGTACAGGTAACCCCCGTATAACACGGATTCACTTTAACACGGTTCGAGAATTGGTACCATCCCCCATATAACACAGTACTTTTATAGCACGGATTCACTCTGACACGGTTCGAGAAATGGGTAAAATTCTCATACAACATGAAATGTAAAAACTTTTTACATACTTAAGTACTAATAGTTCACGAATATAATAATTTTCGTGAACTATTAGTACTTCAGTGTGTAAATTTTCTTTTCTTGTCTCCATACTCATGGTCCTTCACGAAAATTGTTTCAATTTTTGCAAAGGACCATGTTTCAATTTGCCATATCGCGATGCTTCTGCTTCTGGTGTTGCCAGATGTTTTTCCCTTATTCCATACTTTCTTTATTCTTCATAAGTGCTTAGCACCATATAAGGAAATTTATAAAGATCTTTTAACTACAAGCAAGCAATCTAAAATTATATACACTTTTTGCAAAAGGAAAAGCATGAATCTGAGAATAATGCAGAAAAGTGCTCAGAGGATAACGATAACTTGCCAAAAATAAAACGCTCTTGGTTAATAGTGCTTTTAGTGATGACAAAGAAAGCATTGTTTAATTTATATTAATATGTATCACTTAAGAAAATTTTAATAAAGAGATTTAACTTAATTATGAAAATATAGTAGCATGTTTTTTTTTTTTTAATTTTTGGAACCTAACCCTCCTTTTCATACTAGTTCTTTGATTCGCATAACACGGCAATTTTTTGGAACGTAACTACCGTGTTATACGGGGTTACCTGTAATGTGGTACTAGATGTAGACATTAGGCACAATCTATTATTATTAACTAAACACCAACAATATGCCGAAAATCTATCGGGCTAGTATTAGGCTAATTACTAAATGAATTACGTAATCAATTTGGCACTAGAGCTAGGCATTAGGCCTACCTCTAGTGCCATTGATTACGTAATTCCTACCTTTGTTTATATTATTATTAATTAACTAAATATATTTACATGAAAATAGCAGCTGAATTCTATTCAAGATTGTTATATTATGTTATATTATGAAATATTTTAGTTTATTCCAAAATAGATTTAATTTCTCATTAATATTTGTAGTTTTCAATTATTACCATTTCTTTAATTTCTTATTATAATACTAAATTCTATACAAAAACTGAATAGGAGTAGTCAATAGAATATACACTTATTCATTTTGTAGATCAGGGGTAAGCAAAATGAATATAATGCCCAAAATATTAATAAATATATAAATTTTCCAATTTAAGAAAGTATGCAGCAAAAATTCTATCTTTCTACAACTTAGTAAAAAACAAGAAATTGACTAACAGATTCAAAACTAATTTAAAACTAGCAGTGACTAATATTCAACCAAATATTTTGGATATATGTTCACATTAGTGTCAGAAGTCAAATCAAGTATTAATACACTTATGTTAATTTATAATCATATATGAATTATGATTTATCTGCAATTCTTTTCTTTCTTCTCTTGTGTGCAGTCTGTGTCAGTTCAAAAGTCATAAATGCACCCTTACATAGAAAAAGGTTGCCCATCCCTGTTGTAGATAAACATACATCTTTATACATATACACATATATAATTCTTGTATATTGTACATGTAATATGTATGTATGTGTAAATTATTTCTATGCAATTATTTCAATTTATATTTCAAATATGCTACTTGAATTTCAGTTAAATCTTGATACCACTTATATTATCAAAGTGATATATATATATCAGTTAGACAACAGACATCTTATAATCATTTATCGTCTTTTATTATCCAGTGTAGGTATATGCTTCTTCTCTTCCTGTCTTTTTTGTCAATTGTTGCTATTGTTTCTCAAGTTTCCTGTTTAGGTCAGTTTGCAATCTTCCCATTCTTCATCTCTCCTATTCTCTGACATCTATTCTATTATTCTTTTCATACACCTGTTATATTTCATTTTACCAACAAATTCTACCCATCTCTCTTTGTTTTCTCATATTTTCTTCATTATATCTTTTACCATTGTCTTCTCTCTTATCAATTCATTTCCTTTCCTGTCTCTTATGACTTCTTACACTGCTCTTTCATTCTCCCTTACATTACTAATAGTTTTTGTTCTTGTTCATTTAGATTCCTTCTGCAATTGCTTTCTTTTGCACTTAATTAATTTTACTAAGAGACTTCATTCCATTTGAGGTAACAGCGATTCCTTTTCCCTTACCCACAGGTCATTGCTAGAAAAATTAACTTATTGAATATTTTTCATTTAAGACATAGTACAGTGCTGTCTCTAAACAATATTATATGCCTTTTGTATACATTCCATCCTGTTTAATTCGAACATTTATTATATATATTTCAAGACATACTACTGTATATACTATGTTGCAATATATTAAAATGCTTTCTTACATTAAATTAAAACTCAATAATTTAAATTTTTTAAATTTACCTGGGTTAGTAGTAACATCTGATTTTCCAACGCTAATACCTAATTTTTTGCTAGAAGCTGCAAACTCTTCCCAAGTAGTTTCTAGTGATTTGCAAGCAGGACACCAAGGTGCGTAACTAAAAAAAAAATTATATTTTTAAAATATAAAATAATAATATTTAAAAAAAAAACAATTAATTAGCTTGATATTGACTAGCCTAAATAGGTATACTAATAGGATAAAAAAATTTTTTATATTCAAAACTTTCAAATTCAATATTCTTTAGATCCATTTCCAGCCTATTTATGAAACTTTTACAATAAAAAACAAAAAAAAAATTGTTTAAAAAAAGCTAAAGATAAAAGGAGACAAGCAGACCTTAAAAAATTCCAGCATAATTATTTAATTAGACGAACTTCGGCCTCCTTAACAGGCCACTTTCAGGTCATCATGATAAAAGATATGAAAATGCCAATTTAAAAATGTTTACTTCTGTATCATTACATTTTGATTAAAATTCCATTTATAAAAACATTTTCTGTAATTCCCTGCAGATAAAATCTGTAAGGTCATTATTTATCTACAAAAATCTTTTTTTTTTTTTTTTTTATAAAATACTTTGGCAATCAGGATGATTCAAAGATTGAAAATTATTGAAACTAAAAATAAAATATTAGGGGATCAAACTTATCATCCATTTCAACATATTGATAATTAGATTATTGCATATTATCATAAAGTTAAAAATACTGTAAATATTCTAATAAACAGAATAGTATAACTTTTTTCTGCATACAACTGTGCTTTTTATGAGAGAGTACTTACTATTAGAATGCAACTATTATTCCTATTCTTTGGGAACTGGGTGAGAATGCAAATATTAATGGAATAAATTCAGTAACTTTTTCACTTCATTATTATTTCAGCAAGAATGAAACAATCAACAGACAGACAGACTTTATTTCAACATACATGGTAGGTGCTAAAATTTTCCAGTCTAAGTATATTTTAGACATGATAGGAATAAAATAATGATAGTATCAGATAGCACCATCTGTATGTGAACTAATAAAACAGTTTTTCCTGTCAATTTATACAAGTTGCTTGAAAACATTCATTTTAGTTAGACTTGTTGCATTAATTTGTATTATGTTCACTTGCAGGACAATGCGCCAGTGCACACAGCTGTCATTGCCATAGCTACTGTAAAGAAGTGTGAGTTTGAGGACTTTACAGTCTGGACCCAACTCCTAATGATTATTATCTGTTTCCAAAACTCAAAAATATCTTTGAAAAAGTGATCAAGGGTTTCAGAAGGTGTTTATGAGCATTTTACAGACAAAACTGTGAACTATTTTTTAAAGGATATTGAAATGAAAATTTCAAAATGTAATAAGTGTTGAGCAACAAGGAGACTATTTTGAAAAATGACATCATTGTTTTATACCTATAACATCTAAAACATAGTTAGGTTGAAAACTTTTGCCCCCTACCTTGTATAGTAAGAGTGACAATGATGAACAGAGAGAAATTTTTCAGTTTAAAATAAGACTTATCTTCCTCGAAAAGAAATCTTCCTCACTACTATTAGAGGAAGCTATTTATTGTAATATATACAGTTGTATTTCATTTATGAAGATAGGAATATCTTTTCTGCTTGATATCATATATTTACCTATTTTTATTATTAATATCATATTAATTTATAGTTTTAATTTTAAATACATTTTTAATAAATCATTTATTTATTATCTTCTTTATTATCTGCTACATATATCATTTGACTTGACCTATACCAATTGTTACAATATTAAATTAATTTATCTAATGTATAACCATCTTATTTTAGTATTGTTTGTTATAAAATAGAGAGGTTGAGGCACACGTTTTAAACGTGTAAACGTGTACGTGTGATGTTCGGCGCCGCTTTCCCGTAAGCCTAAAAGTGTGACGATGGTGTTTGGAATGTCGAGCGTGATTCCACCGACTATCCAAACACCATTGTCAAACTTTTAGGCTTACGGGAAAGCAGCGCCGAACATCACACGTACACGTTTACACGTTTAAAACGTGCGCCTCAACCTCTCTAATATTTTCACATTTGATCTTAACAATTTATTTACTAAAAAATAAGATATTTTTATACTATAAAACTTTTCTAATACAAAACTGAGTTATCTAAACTAGAAAAATATAGCTATACCAATAAACATGTCTTGCTTATTTTTCCAGCAGATAGTTGTATGTTTTACAAACATTTTTGACTTTTTTGAAAAGCATGCTTCAGGTTGTTCTCTTGTATGAATTTTTTAAGAGATTCATCAATAAATAAAAAGGTATGATAATTGCTTCATCAATATTGATGAACTCCATATCATACCTTTTTTTAAGCTTTAATTATCTCTTCTTCAGAATTATTTTTAAATACAATAACCAAAACAAATTTACCAATTATATCAGTTACTAGTAGCCCTGGACGCCCCCTAGTGGGCGTTCTTTACAAATTTCCATGAGGCACGGTTCCTTTGACTTTTTTGTTCCTATCAATATGCTGTACAGCTCTGTTAAAGTCCCAATGGTAAGATTTACCCTCCGAATGAAGAGGTGGCGACCCCCCAAACTGTAGCCTGTGCGAACAATAAAGTCAAAGGAACCATACCCCTACTCGCGATCCTTCGCGAGATATAAGCCCCTGAAATAATAAATTCCTATTACAAATATACTGAATTATTTATATTGTTATATTGACCAAATAATAATTTATGGGCCAAATGAATAATAATAATTCATATTGTTAATTTAAATAAGAATTAAAATTGTTAATTTGAATGTTTGAAATATGACACA